GAAGTATGCGCGTCAAACAAAGCCGCGCAAAGTAAATCCAAATAGAAGCGGTTGGTTCTTTGAATCTTGAACTTGAGCGGTTGGACTAATTATTGTTTATTTGATGCTGAAGTTAGTTATTCTCATATGTTTGGCAATTTTTTAATTTTTCTTAAATTGTGCGTTTCACTTCACGTTTTTCATTTCAAGCCCTGCAGACTCTGTGTCTCTTTTGGATTTTTCGTTTTTGAAAACATCTTTTCAGAGAGGTGGTTTTTGCATTGCCAAGACCCCTCATAAATGATGGGCTCTGTTTTCACGAGATACTCTTCCTATTTGTCTCGTATTGTTGTCTAGAAACGTTGTATAACAGGACATTTAAAACCAGCCAATTTGTTATAAAATAGCATGTTTTGCATGAGTTTCATACTATGACCAACTAATTTGTTCTTACTGCAGGGTCATCATCTGCTATTTTGAGTCGGAAGTTTACTGAGTTCTGCATCTTAGGCTCGGATAACCTCCCTAGAACTCTGTTAATGTACTTGTCAAACTCACCATCCTCAGAATCTGTATATTTTCCAACCGTTTTGTGCAATTCACGGAAATTCAATGGGACAACAATCAACCACAACATGCAGTATGCTTCTTTTAACTCCAGATCACAAGTTCGCCGGCTCAACTCAAGTGACTTCAATGACCTGGTGATGAGTGGAGCAGCCTTTGCTTCCCCATTTAAGGCAGGCGATCCGGTTCTTGATAAGATTGACCATGAACTTCTCCACCACAATCGTGACGAACCAGTGCCAGGCGGGTGGTGTTTAGGTGACACTGAAACTAACAAATGTACCGTTTGGGGAGATGCTGAAATCACAAGACCGGGTTTCGGAGCAAAGAGACTCGAGAAACATTTTCTTGAGCTTTTCTCTAACGGATCATATTTGTCTTATCAGTGTCAATATGAGAAGAGCTCCTCCTCCAGATGATTAACATCTAAGTTGCACAGACTCTTCACTTTCGATGCTGCACCTGTGTTGGATTCTTAAAAAATACCCTCCTTTTGGAGAATCCGACACGTACTCGTTGACATTTTTGAAGAGTTCGAGCAATATAGATTAACATAGCAAAGGGAGAGACAGAGATGAATACACTATCAACTTAGACAGAAGATATAACACGAGGTACTCATCAAACCACTTGAAATAGTACTAAATTTTAGTGTCAGCTAGCCAATTCTTTCATTGGAAGCCTATTGTTGTATAAGTCCTTTTGAGAGTCATCTTTTCCATCCAGTGCCCGCGCTGCGTCAAAAAAACTCCGTCTTTGATCTCTCTTTCGCAATACATTTTAAGGGCGAAAACTTTGTTGAATTGGGCAAGCCCTGCTGAGGAATCTTAATGTAATTGTTTGCCATTGCAATGGAAGATCATTGTAATCACTTGATGTTAATATTGTACTCATATTTTCCCTCTCCTCGAGGCACACGTAGACTTTTTTTTTTTTTACGAAAACATTATTATGTCTGAATATGAATACATGTTTGAGTATTAAGATGTTGTCTCTGAATTTGAATGCTAGATAATTAAAATTGTGTTTCTCAACATCTCAAATTGAATACATATTATGATGATTGTGGGTTGTTGGTTGGTGGTGAACATAGTTAACAGTAGAGCTTGTCTAGTGGTGGTTGCTGGGCTGTAGTGGCTGGTGGTAGAGGTGGCCGGTGGTGGAGTGGTAGTTAGCAACGGAAATGGTTAGTGGTGATAGTTGGAAGTGTTGGCGGTGGTGGTCGTGTGAGGTATGAGTCGAGGTGATTGATGGTGATGTTCTAATCTCAGGTTATTCAACCCTAAACTCTAGCTCGTACTATTCACTAATATAAAAGAGTGTATTTTCTTTAAGAGACATCTTGAAAATCTCATAAATTCATGGAATATTTACCAAGAAATCAGAACAATGAACATCAAATGTTGTTATTCTCAAAACCAAAGAGATCAAGATCAGATGTTCTCCATCTAGATCAACTCGAAATATTGAAGTATTGTCCAACATTTTTGGCGTTCAAATACATCACGAGGAGGTCTACGAGCCCGTTTGGATTGACTTAAAAAAAGTAGTTTTTTAAGTCAAAAAATAAAAAGTAGGGGAGATCTACTTTTGGTTTTTGACTTATTTTAAGTTATTTTAAATCTTGCCAAACACTTCTTAACTTATTTTAAGTCACTTTTAACTTATTTTAAGTTATTTTTTATATTTGTCAAACATTTTCAAAAATCAAAAATTAATTTAAAAATAAATTTGACCAACTTTTAAGACAATCCAAATGGGCTCTACATCATTCTACCTTCAAGAAATATACTACTCCCTTCGTTTCACAAAGAATGACATGGTTTGACTTGACACGGAGTTTAAGTAAATAAAGAAGACTTTTGAATCATGTGGTCCTAAATTAAAGTTATGTTAAATGTACAAAATTTTCCTTAATTTTGTGGTCTTAAACATACCACGTGGAAAGCAAAAAGTAAAATGTTACCAAAAAAGAAAAGAGATCATTCTTTTTTAAACTGACTAGAAAGAAAAGGAGGTTATTCTTTGTGAAACGAAGGGAGTATTAATTAACCTCGAATGACGGAGAAAGTTATGAGAGAAAAATTAAATAAATACACAGAATTGTTACTAGACTATTTCTTTTATGAAAATATATTTCCTTTTGACTACATGATTGATTGATTTGATGTGTATTTTAAGTCACAAAGACAAAACTACTTTTATTCAACTTGAAATAAAATAAAGAACACATAACATGACTTCTTCTAAAGTTTGCATGTGATATCTCACATGCAAAATGGGAGAGTAGTTGCAAACATCTAACAACTAATCATACAATTTTTTAAACATGGGTAGGCCCTAGTAACACCCAAATTTGCTCCACTTATATTTTATGTCCAATTAATAAAATCGTCGGATCATTTTTATAACAGTCATTTTTTATAATAATATTTTTTTTAGTTATAATATAATCTAGTCTTTTCTTAAGAATTGACTTTTATATTATGTTATATTCCATATATATCCTTTATAATAACATTTTAACATAGTAATTAAAAAATATATTAATAAACGACACTATTATAAAGAGATGTTACTATATAATCTCAAAGACGATGTGACTTCAATTTTAATCATTCATCATTTCTTTAAATCTTGTGTTGATTAATTTTTTTATTACGACTTTTGAACTCTTCCTTCATTAAACACACACATACACAAAAAAAATAAAAAAATATCACATGTATTGTCGGAATAGTCAAAGATTTTTTCAAGTAACTTATTATATAAATAAATTAATAACAATCGTGTTACTCTCTTATTGGACAGATTAACTAATCAATTCCATGATTTGCATAGGCAGCCTGCGTTGTCTAATAATGTAAAATACATGGGGCTGTTTGATCGGTGAAATAAAAATAATAATTTGAAGATATTTTATTATACATTTGATTTTAAATTTTATTTCACTTCAAAATTATTTTATTTCACTATATTAGTATAAATTATTTCATATAAAAATGAAATGAAATAAAATAATTTCATGAGATATTTTTATCTATGTTCCATTTTCCTGATCACATAACCTCATAGTGTTATGACAATAATATTAATAATCAAGTTTTAATTATTTATATTTGTATCCTACAGTGGAAAACAACATGTAAATATTCTATTATATGATAAATAAATAAAATATAGTGGTAAGTATATAGTCCTTGTCAAGTTCATGAAATATTGGGTGTACTTTCACTAGTAGTATTTTTGGTCATGTTGATTTGACACAGACCAATAGTACCTAAATATAATTGACCACAAATTAAAGGGATACCTACTTGTTGAAATATATAAATAAATAAATAAATACAAATGAAAAAAATATATGCGTATATAATTTACGTGATTTTAGATAGAAGGTCATAAAAGTTACATAAATTAAAGTAGTTAATAGTGTCTTGTTTTTCAATATATGTTTATACTAGTAGTTGTATTATTTCTGTAGTTTCTTATTCGTTGTTTTCGTATTTTGCTTATCATATTATTTTATTATGCTTAAGTATTGCATACACTCTATCGGACATTAGACCTTTCTTCGTAAAACTTAAGCACATTTTAAAGTATGATCAGTAGTGACTTATATAACATTTTTCTTTAAGTCGAGATTTAAAATAACCTCTTTACTTCAATAATTTTGTAGGATAAAATCTACGTCTATCTTGATTCTTTCAAGTCCCATCTATGAGATTACACTGAACATGTGTTTTTTGTGTGGTAATGACTCACATACAAATATTTTTCCCTTTTAATGAATCTTATACGAGGCGAATTAAATTAGTCAAGACACAAAAATGAAAATTCAGTACCAAGTAAAAAAAAAAAAAAAAAGCAAGTGAGATAAGCAAGGTATCATTTCTACGACAAACGTAAAAGGAAAGAAAATTAAAAAAACAGATGAAAAATCAACATCCTGTTGCTGCCTCCAACTTGCCAATTTGCTATTCAATAATAGTCCTTGGCCTTTTATTAGTAACAATAATTATTTATTTTATTTGATTTTCGATTTCATATTTAAGTCCGACTAATCTGAATTCACACAAAATAAAACTCATGAATGAAGTTTCTATTAAAGATTTTTTCATATCTCAAAACTTAAACTCAAAAATTCTAATTAAATAACGAGTCCCATCAACCACACACCACTTTCTTTGGTATTATTGGTAACAATAATTATTCTTTTGATTTTTTATCTGGTGTTTGATATATTCGACTAATTTAAACTCGCACGAGATACAATCCATTAAAAAATAACGTTTCCTATCAAATATCTTTTAATATCCGAAGCTCAAAATCCAATCCTCTAATTAATAAAAAACTCTTATTCACTGCACAATATTCTTTGATATTATCGTAACAATAATAACACCAACAAGAAAGAGAGAGGAAAGAGAATCTCTCTTTCTTCCTACCCACAATTATTTCTCCCAAATTTCTCTCTGTCTCTCTTAACAAATTCAAACCAAACACAGCCAAAATAAAACCAAAAAACTTGTTGAAAATTCTATAGAAAAAAATTTCTTTCTTTTTTTTTGAAAAGAATTTTATGAAAATGGAAGCTATGTACTCAAAAACTTGTTTTATGGTAGATGATGATATTCTTAATTTCTCTTTAGATGATGATGAAAAATATCAAACTTCTTCTTCTTCTTTTGAATCATCAAACACCCTTGGATTTCATCAAGATGATCATAGCCCTTCATTTCCTGTAAGTAATTTGATTGATTTTTTTTTTCATTAGAATGGCATTTTCGTGAATAAACATGTAAAGAGGGGTAATTTTGTTGGGTGAGGGAATAAGATACCATGTTTGGACGATTTTACCCTTGAAACCAAATGAGTTGTTTGATGCCTCGAATAAGGATAATAATTTCGAAATAAATTTATGATTAACTTTATGTCGTGTTTTGTTTGAGGTGTTAGCTAATTCAAGATTAATTTATCTTGCTATTTGATAAAATAATGTGATTACTATTTCATATCGGCATATTCTATGCTTGAAATATCCTTGTTTATTCCATTTCACATGCCAGGCGACCCTAAAAAGGATTCATGGCTTGTTACATAATACTTTTTTATGATTACAATGAAAAAAAAAATTCACATAAATTCAAACGGTGCTATAAATGATAGGGGTAATTTTGGAAATAAAATATGGGGGTACTTTGGGAATTGAAAATGTGGCCGACATATATTTATGATTGGTACGTTGGCAGCCACTAGAAGTGAGCTGTACGAATAATTACTATGTATCCGTTTTCCACTTGCATTACATAAAATACAAAAAGACGTTTTGGTCCCTATGCAAAATTTCCTTTGAAATTGCCTTTTTTTTTTTTTTGTGCAATATTAAAATAATTAGATTCCCTCTTGGATATTTTCAAGTTTTCTATAAGATACAAATAGAAAAATAAAATAAAGCTTACCTTATTCTCTTTTTTCGAACTGCTTTGATATGTTTTTACTCGAGCAAAGGGTCTATTGGAAATAGTTCCTCTATCTTCTAGAGTAGGGTAGGAGTTTAAGAAAGAAAGACTTTTGACACGTAATTTCCATTGGAAGTCTCCTTCGGACGAGCAAATTTCCAACAAAATGTCTATCGAAAATTCATGTTTTTTTAATTGTGTTTGTAAACTCCAAGTTAGTGAAACAACACCATATAAATTGAAACGGAAGGGGTAGTATAGAAAGTTTATTATTCCCAAGAAGTGAAAAACCAGAGGTGATTATGAATGTTTATTTTGAGCTACTCATAAGAGTTGCTTGTGGTGAGAGTCTATCGAAAACAACCTCTCTACCACTATCCTCCTCAAGGCTCAAACCCGACTTATGAGATTACACTAAATATGTTGTTGTTGTTGTTAGATGCTCGGAAGAGTATTAACGGAATACATTTTGCAGGATTATGTAGAGGAAGAATTGGAATGGCTTTCAAATAAAGATGCATTTCCAGCAGTAGAATTTGACATATTCTCTGATCATGTCCCTAATGTCATATTTGATCACCACAGCCCAAATTCAGTACTGGAAAACAGCAGCAGCAGCAACAACAACAACAACAATTGCAACGTAAATGTTAAGGAAAACGCGTTTACAAGCCACACCTCTAGCCTCCTACAAGTCCCCATTAACCACCCCGTTGGTGCACGGAGCAAGAGAAGGCGAAGAATCGCCTTGCAATTCGACAACTCGTGTGTGTGGGGTAACCAAGTGAAATTCAACAACACTAGTACTAAGCAAGGACTAACATTGCTCAAAATATCATTGACTAAAGCTAAAAGAGGTACTAGCATTGGTAGGAGGTGTCAACATTGTGGGGTCGATAAGACCCCACAATGGCGTGCAGGTCCTACAGGACCTAAAACGTTGTGCAACGCTTGTGGGGTCCGGTATAAGTCTGGAAGGTTGTTCCCTGAGTACCGCCCCGCGAATAGCCCTACTTTTTCAGTTGATTTACATTCAAATTCTCATAGGAAAGTTTTGGAGATGAGAAAGCAGAGGATTTAAAATCAAGTATATAGGGCAGGGTTAATTAGTAGTGAGTCTATAGTTTTTAAATTTTTAGCACAATTAGTATGGAGTCTAGGTTTACTAAAACCATATTATTTGTATTGATTTCCACTAAAATCTACTAGGGTATTTACAAGTTAACTTGGTTTGGTCATGGTATATTTCATTTATTCTTTTCAACCAATAAGATGTATTGTTAGTTAGGGGCGGAGATAGATCGAAGGGCGAATACTACACTATATACTAAATGAAAGAACCCTTTGATGAAAATCCTGTCTTCGCCACTATTGACATGTTGCTTTAAGAGGTGGAGGGTTATCTTTACTTTTTTTGTCTAGAGTGTCTACATGATATTTTTCTTGTTGAAGTTTGAACTATGTATATATAAGAGCAACCTCAACCTCAGTGTGGCCTAGTGGTTAAAAAAGTGAGTGCAAATTTCAAATACCAATGCTCAAATCATAGGGTAGGACGGAGAATATTAGGTGATTTTACCCCATAGACATGAGCGTTTGCTAACAAAGTTATCTAGTACCTACCTGCGTAGGTGAGAGGTAGCAAGTATATATATGATGAAATAGTCAAGATAATCGCAAATAACTTATAGACTTTACTACTCATAAACATCAAAACTAGTTCGATATGTACTTAGTGAAATAGTCAAGGTACGCGCAAGAAAAGAAAGCAAATACTACTAACAAGCAACTTCATTACTTCTACTTACATCTAAACTGTGTAAACATCAAAACTAGTTCAAACAACATATCGATAAGTGACATAACGACCTGCAGTCTCACTTGGTCTGATAATTTTCACGATTTGGCCACGATTTAGCCCATAATATCTAGCAATTGGATCATTGATCTGAATTCGAGGAAGCTGTTTCAACAACAGGAAAAATATAAGTCACTCGATTAGATAGAAAACTGATGAGAATAATCAACTAGTATCTAACAAAACGATTAGATCCTCCAAAAGTAATGCATTTTGGAGGATCCAACAAGGGTAAGACGACATTTTTGGAGGATCCAAGCAACATAGGTCAACATCGTTTAGCAAGAGCAAATAATGAAAACTAAGACGAACCTGTGATTCTTTCACTGTATATCGTTCCAACAAACTTTTCTTTTCTGCATTAGTAAGTGGCTGATGCTCAGGAACTATAGCGTGATCTTTAACATTTACCACCAACTCTTCTTCCTGACATATCAAACACGTAACTGTTTATTTATAAAATCAGTTTCAATACTTCAAAAACGCTTTTCAACTATTATTAATCAGCTAAACCAAACGGACTCATAGTCCGTTTATCAAAATGTAAATGGTACTCTGATTTTGGTTGTCCTACTACTTGACTAGTAGCTAGACCACAATAACAAAAGTACCAAAAAGATGAAAGGTCAAAAACCCACCTAAAATATCACGATTTTTTTGAGTTTCTTACCTGAATTATTAGGTGTGCAAGTTTTCTAGCTACCTAAACTATCACCAACTATTTATCAAAACACACCTCAACTATCAATCTCGTACCTGAATTATCAGGTGCGAGTTCCCTAGATACCTGAACTCAAAACACACCTCAACTATCAATTTCATAGGTGTGAGAGTTTCCTAGCCACCTGAACTATCACCAACTATTTATCAAAATACGCCTCAATCATCAATTGTTCCCTTTTCCTATCTGAACGTGCGTTCATTCAAGTAAAGTAAGTACAAACAATTAGCAAAAATAGTGGAGTAGTCACCTGGAAGACCTCCAAGTGTAACATTGTAGATACTTCACTTATGAATTGAAGAGATTTGGGTGTCAGTTTTTGTTGTACAACAAAAATTGCTTGGGAGATCTCTTCTTGTCTCAGACGTTCTGCATAAGGTCTCATTTCCTTAACACCAACCTTTGCCCCTTCAGGAAAGAACACATATATCTGCAATCAATAAACTACGGAGCTTCATTGTTTGTCTGATTTTGACTTGTCACGACGTTTAGGAAAACAAAATGTACCAAAACATTCTTTAATCTTGTGGTTTTAAACATATCGAAACAGGAAAGAGACATAAGAACGCGTACCTTCTTCTCATCATTGTTGCGTTTGGCTTTGAGAATTTCAAGGTCTTGTCTCTTCATGTTTACGCCATACTTGTGAAGGAATTCTTGTTTTGACATTTTAATCTCAAATTCTTCAACAAGATAGCCCCTATCATTCAACATTTCCATCATTGTCTTACGAACTTTGTAAAGTCTTGTGAGCTCGTCTTCTGATAGAGTACTCATCTTGGCGCCCTACTAAATTCAAAAAATGATATTCGTTAAAGCAAATATGAATAGCAATGAACACATGATTAGACACGATTGAATCTAAGTACCTGCTATCTTCCACCACCAGTAACACGTAATATTAATGTCCACTCGCAAAACAATATTTAAGCCTAAAACTATTGATTTTTGTTTTTTGGTAATTTTACAATTACAATATTCATTATCAAACTCAACTCCATACTCCAATTAGACAAGCTAAAAGTTTAATCAATATGTACTTCAACAAAATTCAGTTTAAAAAAAAAAACTGCTTACAAACAATATAATATAAATATACACATCAACCTATAACAATCAATACATATAACCATGATGCAAATTCAGTAACAGTTGTGTTTACAACAACAACAACAATATACGTACATCTACCTCCAAGATATCGAGAAATTGTTTACAATAGATCCTCGACTCAAGTAAAACATAGACAATAACAATTGTATTTACAACAACAAAAACAACAAACCTAGAAATTCCACGGGTGAGGTGAGGTCCGAAGAGGGTAGAGTATATGTAGACCTAATAACCCTAACTCGTAGAGATAGAAAGACAGGAGAATAGAGTATATGCAGACCTTAGTTATCCCTAATTAATAGAGATAGATAAACTGTTTACGATAAAACCCTGAGTCAAGTAAAGTTCATTAGTAATTGTGTTTACCACAAATAAAAATTACAGTTGGATTCCGTCGGGGAAAAGTCCGTTACGTTATAGAGAAAAATATGGGTTATTAATTAACTTAAATTAACTCCTCTATTATAAAAAATAAAATTTTTTCCTTATTTATTAAATAAATATAACAAATATATCACAATTTTGAGTCAAATACAATTTTGGACTTAATTTTAGGTCAAGTATCTGCTAACCCGTGATTTTGGGCTAAATCCATGGAAGAAATCCTAATTAACGAAGATTTTAAAAAAAAAAAACCTAATTAGTATATATATATATAATGATATTTGATATTTAAATCTCATTTAGCTTTTATAAATAAAAGTAGGTAGGAAACTAGTTTAATAGTTTTGTGAACCAAAAAGGAGGAATGTAATTATTACATGGACTCAATTTATTACAAGTTGAGATCAGATAATTTAGCTAGAGTTATTTTTTAGGAGAAGATTTAATTAAACTATTGTAATATCTTTGATTAATTTATATATTTCCCTTTCAATAGGTGACTAATTAGAATGTGTTGGTATGAATGAATATATTTTCTTAAAAAAATAAGTGAGTTTTTTGTTGTTTGATACACAAACAAAAAAAATATATGTAATTTAGAAAAATTCTTAAATTTTGTTTTCAAGGAAAATAGTTTTAATGTTGAACACCTTTGACACAAACACTCCCATTCAAATAAATACAATTATTTTAGTTAATTAATTTCAATTTACCTAAAATTCTTAAATATTTCTCAACTTTCTTTAATAATATTTCATTTGATTCAATAATAAGATGGCGATAATATGAAATTAAAGCAACATGAAGAACTTAGCCAAAACCAAAACAAGTCTTTGAGAAAGAGGCCAATGTACACCACTCATCGTCGTGATTCAAACACGAAATTACACTAGTTGTAATTTCGTTTTGACATAGTAAAATCTTGTTCACTTGATTGACTTTCCAATACGTAATGTACGTCCAATTAATTTTGTCCCAACTCTTATATAAACCAAAATCTCGAATAGACCAATATACGATAGGGCAACCTTTGTCTTCATTAATTGGATCATATGCATTAAAAAAGGACCAAACATTACCCCATTCAGCATAACATACATATATATCATTAATAATACCAGCATCAAATGCAAAATCTTAACCATGTACTAAAGTAACACTAAATAAAGGGAGCCAATGTTGTAATTTACAAGTAACTTGCATAGTTGGATGATGATTAGGAGATAAATTGTTAATTAGATGAACTTTTGGAGTACCATTATTATTTTCAAAAGAAAATGAGAATTGAGATGAAGTTAAAAATATAATAAGAATGAGAATTAAGGCTAAGTTGGTATTAGAAATCATTTTTTTGAAGTGATTTTGGTTAGAGTAACATTTTTCGAAATAAATAGATTTTGAAAACATGACTAAATATTATAATCTTGGTTTGAGTCAAATATGTCTTAAATTTAGGATTTGCCATAAATTTTCAATGGATTTAATACAACAAGAAGAGGATGTTATATTAATTGTTAGATTAATCTTCATTTAGTTTATTTGGCTAAAATAATGTGAGTCATTTGCTCTTTAATTAATTCTCTTATAATATGCACTCTCCATCACAAACTTGGATTGTGGTGCCTGACAGTGATGGATGGTGGAACTGCTCTAGCCTTACCAGAAGTCTTTGGCTTGATTCCAATACGAAAATCAAACATTGAGTAGAAAATAATTTTAAAAAGCATTCTTTATCTTTCATTTATACGTTGCTCTTATTTTTTTTTATTTTTTTTTAGAATAAATAATATATTTATACTCTTCATTTTATGTCACTTGACTTTTATATTTAAAATAAAATTTCTTTGTTACTTGTATACTTTTAGCAAATTAAAAGAAATCTATTATTTTCTTTCAATATACCACCACCACTATCATTAAATTGGCTACATAATACTTACTAGCCAAGTTAAGATTTTCAATATATAATTAATAAAATTAATTATTAAGTTTTGGATTAACTCTAGCAATGTTGATACACCACAATCGTAAAGACCAAAATGAAAATAAAATAAAATTGTGTTGGGATGATTTTTGAAGGTTTGGGATTCAGGTTTGTGGTGGAGAAGGCTGCGCGAATTGAGCTTAACTCACAAAAAATTAAACTTATCAGTTTG